CTCTTCCCCTGGCCCAGCTCAGCAGGGCTCTTTCACGTCCCTCAGGCCTCAAACCAAATATCTCCTCCCCACGCAGGCCTTCCCTGACCCACTGATCGAGACTAATGGCTTCCTCCTGTCACCTTCTCTCCTTTACTTCATCCTGTTTATTTCCTTCCCAAATCTTTTCAAAATTATAATTATCTTTTTAAAAGTATACCATTGGCGTTGGTCTCCCCAACCTAGAAGGCAAGCTCAGTGAAGTCAGGCCCCTGGTTTGCCCTGAGTGCTACTGATTCCACAGGACCTGTGACAGAGGGAACCATCCAAAATGGGCTGTTCATGGAGTTGCGAGAGGAAACCCTGGCCTCCTCGGTAGGAGGGGGCTGTGGCTCTCTGTCGGGATTGTGGGAGAGGGCCAGGCGGGAGAACCAAGAACGACAGCCAACGGCAGTCCTAGTTTCTAGTACTACTTGCCTTCAAACTCTGCTTCAGGTCCGGGGAACCTTAACCTTAGCCTCCCATCAACTAGTTGTGGAGTCCCGCCGCGAAACACCAAATGCGGATGGGCCCAAGGTGCAGGCCTGTGCTCATTATGAAGGACCGTTTCTCCCTCTAAATTGTCTTTGACCTTTGCCCCCAGCAGGATCATCTGCTTGCAGGGGCTAGTAAGCAACAAAACAGATGAACCAAGAGCCAGTTAACGTCACTGGAACCATTGACACAGCCTACTTGAGTAGCTCGGCCAACGTGGAGGCCTTGAGCCTGATGATTTGGGCCCTACAAGCAGTCTCGGGGTGTGGTCCTGTTTCTGCCGACGAAGCTGCTTTCGTTTACGTGCAGAATTAAGTGCATCAAAATGGCATGTGTTGCATAAAACACCAACTGCGGGGAGACCCGGGCAGATGTCCCCACCTGCACACACTTGGGAGGCACTGCTGCGGCCCAGTTTGGAAAAAGAAGAACCTGGGCTCCTATTTCTGCCAAAGGAAATATGACACATTTCCCTTTCTTCTTCCCTTTTGATTTTTGTCAGAGCCATACCCCAACCGTGAACACACTGATCAGAGAGGAGTTAGTCCAGGCCAGCCACCACCTCTGACAACTAAGCACTCCCCCGAGCTCGTCCCCTGTCAGATGGTTCGTGTGGCTTCATTCCACTGATATTTTCTTCCCTGGCTTTGCTTCGCTCTCCATTCATGCGGGACTCCCAGCGCTCACCTCCCTTTTCTCCCCCTGATCCATCTCCATGGCTCGATCGATCACGGACAATGCTCCACCGGGATTAGCGGAGCTGGTGCAGCAGGCTGCGCGCCAGGCACCAGTCAGTCGGTGTGAACAACTGCCACGCTTTGGTCTCACAACAGCCCCCAGGAACAGGCCTGCAATGTTCCAGACGGGGAGGGACGTGCCCAAACTCTGAGCCCAGAGTTGGGGGGGTGCTGTAAACACAGGGAGGAGTTTGAGCAACTGTGTGCCGTTGCGAACCTTCATTCAGTCATTCACATGTCACTCAATAGACACTGAGTGCCTGCCTTGTGCCTGGTGGCCCTGGGTGTTGGGGCCATAACAGTAAAGATTTTTTCGTAGATAAACAGCCAGCCAGCCAGCTAACCATAGATACATGAATGAGCAGCAGAGAAGTCCTGGCCCTCATGGAGTTAATATCCCACTGGGGGCGAGGGTGGGAGGACAAGAAAAGGTTGAGGATGGGAGACGGTAAAAAGGCTGCAGGGAGAGAGCAGGAAAGGGGCCCGGGGAGCCCCGGCTGCGGCTGCTGGGCTGCGGGGGTTGCGGTCGGTCAAGGTGAAGACGCTAATCGGGCAGCCTCCCTGAGAAAGGAACACTGGAGCAGAGAGACCCAAGGGAGACAAGGGAGGGAGACCTGTGACAACAGAAGAGCATTCCAGGCAGAGGAACTGGCAAGTACCCAAGTCCTGACTTGCCTCCAGTTCTTGGAAAATACAGCGGAAGCCACTGTTAGTGGAAGCTGGGGGTTGGGCGGGGAGGGTGGGGAGCAGAGCTAACAGGAGAGGTCCGGTCCTCAAAGGAGCAGGAAAGCGGCCAGGTCATTGTTCATGTTGCACGGGAAAAGAGGGCACCCTTGGTAGCACGTTCCAGAAGACATACGGCCCTCCAGGGAGAGCACAGGATAGTGTTCCGGGGGGAGGAAGTCGGAGATCCGGGAGTCCAGTGCCCACACTCCTGGAGGGGCGGCTCTCCGTGGGCCCCCCACGCCCCGCCGCGGGCCACACTCCAAGGGCTCGCTGAACACCTAGTGAGTGGAACAGAATTGCCGCGGGTGGCGGACGAGCGGTCACGTGGCATGAAAGATGTGCGGGGGTGCCCTGTGAGGCCCCCTTGGGACGTCGTGAGCAACAGAGGCACGCAGGTGTGAATCGGGTAGATGGTGAGAGACTTAAGCTCCAGCTTAAGTCTGGGTACTGGGTGACATTAGACGTGCGGGCAGGAAGAACCAATCGAAAAAAACATAGGACGAGGGTGGGTCTTTGTGGTGTTTTTATATAAGACAAAGGAGAGAAGGGAGTTTTGTGGGAATCTCGATCATCGGGCTAAGAGGAAAACGTAACATGGAAAGCCATGAGCAGACAGTGGCAAAGGAGAAGGTGTAAGTAAGTGTAGGATCAATACGGGTATACAACAGAGCTCTACAGTGACTAAGCGGGTGGGTGTTTTAGCTGAGATGGAGACCGGAGCTTCTGACCCTCCTCTGTGAAAGGGAACAAAGGTACTAGGACAGTTTGTAAGTTTCTTTTGATTCCATGACTCAGGAGAGGGCACTTCAGGGGTCTTGAGAAGCAAGTGCCAGTGGCAAGAGACGGTGGTTCACCAACATCCACCACAGCATTATTTCTAGTCTTACAAAGTAATGTCGAACAACGTAATATATACAAATGTACTCATGCTATCATGGTGTTTACAAAGCTGGATACACACACAGTTATGCGAGCCCAACTGTGTAAAACAGCATATGGAAGGGAATGCGTTAAGAGTGGTTATTTCTACAGCCCAAAGGTATAGATGATTTTTAGTCGTTCGCATATTTTTCTAGTGTTCTACAGTCAGCATCTATTGCTTTGTTGTAAACAGGAAAATGTTCAGCTAAAAAGGGCGACAGTGACTCAGCAGTCTCCTGGGCCACCTCTGAAGGAAGCAAGGCTTATTGTGAAAGGGAATTAAAAAGTTCATGGTGGCAAGAACGTGGTTGCTAGGATTGTTAAAGGCCAAAAAAGCCCGGGGGGGCTCCTAGGACAGCAGAGGAGGGGAGTGCCATGGGCTTTTCCAGCCAAACACTGTAAGCTTTCACTAGGGAACGTTTAGACAAAGAAGCTAGGACCAGCCTCCAGCCGCTTAGTGCACGAGGTCCTGAAGTCCAGATGTCCTACAGGACACGAGTAGCAGCCAGCCCAGTGCCGTGCGGCCCCACATCCTGTTCCCAAGTCCGTGTTCTTTCCCTCCCTCCGGGCACTTTCTGTTCTCACAGAACAAATAAGGGATGAGGTCAGACACCCCTTCCTTCCAGTCAGCTGTGGGAAAGAGGGAGGGCCCGCTCCTCCCCAGGGGACCCTTCAGACGCTGCCCTCCGGCGCTGACCGGATGTCACTCTAGGTTGTCCCCAGCACCTGGTGTCTTCTAAGGCCTAAGGCCAGCAGCACTGAGTTCCCAGGGCTCTGGGCTGTCAATGGCCATTTTATTCCACACTGGAAGATTTACAAATATAAAGGTATTGTATGCAGACAACTGTTGTAGGGGCCAATTTGGAGAAGTCCTTCGGAGTAAAAATGGAGTGAAAAGATTTTTCAAATACGATGAGGAAGGTGTCTACTACATTACAGGGACTACCATGAAGTTTTCTGCAGGTCAATTGGGCAATATGCAATAAAATCACCAAAAATTTTTTTTACTTTTGACTGATTGTACTCTTAGAGATCTAGCCTAAGGAAAAATCAGAATCGTACAAGCATCTTCCCTGATTGTCACTTATAATGGTGAAAAATGGACACAACTTGTCTGATAGTCATGGATAAATCTATGACATGAGCTATTACGCAGCCATTAACCACGTTTTTGAAGACTATCTAACAGCTTCGAGAAAAGGTTCACAATAGTCAGTGAGAAAATCATTGTGGTCAACTGTATGATTATTTAAAAATACACCACATAGGAAAAAAAAATTGGTAGAAAATTAACAGTGATTCTATGTATGCGGTGGGAGAAGAGGTGATTTTTTCTATTTTTTCTTTTAAAAATGACTTTTCAAGATTTCTATAATTACTGTTGTCAGGAAAAAATCGTAGACACTTAAAAAGTAGGGAGTACAACTGTGTGATTTCATTACGAGGTGGCCTCTCATCTTCACCAAGTCCTGACTCCCAGAGCCGGGCAGCTAAGCTCACAGAGCTCCTCAACCCCAGCTCAGTGAGAACGCACTACAGAGCTTCTAGAACAACCAGTGCCTGCCCCCAACCTCAGAAGTTCTGATTTGACTGATCTGGGTCCCACTGATGGTGGTTCTTCCAGCTCCTGGGTGGTGCTGCTGTCGCCCACAGAGCCTTTAGCACCGTCCTCCCCGCTCCGGGCCCCCAAGGAGAGGCGTCTCCTTCACCCCCGACGAGCCCACCCTCGTCAGGATCTGAGCAACTCCCTCAGATGTTTTCAGTGGCTTGTGGTGTTGAAAGTGCAGCGAAGCCCCTGTTGAGAGGGCATCAGTGTGCACGTTTCAGGCACTCCCAGCTGCCCCGCGGGGGGGGGGGGGCGCCCTTCCCCCTGAACTTGGCCCAGAGGGGCAGCTGAGGACTCACCGAGTGGGTGCTGCCTGGAGGCTCCCTCTAACTTCTGGTTCCCACTGGGGTTGGGAGGAAGGGTGCCACGGGTGTTTACAGAATTCCAGGAGCTGTGAGGATGCTCACGGATGTGCCTTCCCGCAGGTACCCAGAGGCCGGCCGTGCCAAGGGCAGGGGGAAATGACCATGCCCAGCCCGAGGCGGGGCGCGCAGCTGCTCTTCCTGGCCATCATGGCTGTCACGGCGGCGGCCATCTCCCTGCTCTTCTATGCTCTCCTCTGGAAGGCCGGCAACCTCACAGACCTGCCCAACCTCAGAGTCGGCTTCTACAACTTCTGCCTGTGGGACCAGGGCACCGGCTCCCTGCGGTGCCGCCAGTTCCCTGAGCTGGAGGCCCTGGGCGTGCCGCGGGTTGGCCTGGCCCTGGCCAGGCTTGGTGCATATGGGGCCCTGGTCTTCACGCTCTTCGTCCCCCTGCCTCTCTTCCTGGCCTGGTGCAACAGCAGCGACGGAGAGTGGCGGCTGGCGGTGGGCTTCCTGGCCATGTCCTCCACGCTGCTGGCCGGCGGCCTGGGCCTCTTCCTCACCTACACCTGGAAGTGGGTCAGGCTCTCCCTGCTGGAGCCCGGGTTTCTAGCTCTGGGCACCGCGCAGGCCTTACTCGTCGTCTTGCTCATGGCCACGATCCTGTTTCCTCAGAGGGCGGAGGACAAGAGCAAGCTGGACAACTACTAGGTCTGTTGAGAGGCTTACGTGATCGCAAGAGTTCAGTCTGAACTATGCTCAGAGAAGGTGCCAGACACTTGAGGGGCTGCTCTGTCTCCTCAGCCTGTTTGACAGCGAATGCCCATCTCACGCCCTGGCAGCCGGGCCCCGCCATGGAGAGGGGAGGTACCCAGGGCCAAGAGGCCTTGACTTCCAAAGTTCCCAAGGGCACCCCCAGACCATGCAGCTCACCATCCTGAGGACTCCTGCTTTCCTGCACTGATCTGAGCAAGCCATTCTCACTCCATCCTCAGGATCATGGAGAGACGACTCCTGTCACGAGGCCTGACTTCCAGGGCAGTTTGCCAAATGTCAAACTAGAACCCAGTGAAGGTTTATGTCAACCAACGGGGCACATTATGAGAGAGAGCTCGCCTCAGTGTCCCTCGGGGCCCCGGTTAGCAAGCTCCCCCCGCCGTGGTGGGTGTGATGCGATGAACCCCCTTTCCCTAATACCACTCCCGAAGGCCCAGGAGTGATCCCTTGAGGGATTCACTAGAGACCGAACCCCTGGGCACAAAGAGAAGCCTTGGTGGTTCCGAAGGCTCTCCTGGAGAGGTTCCTGGACCCGCAGCCAGACAAAGCACGGGCATCAGCGGGCAAATCGCTCCTAGCACGGGCCCCGGGGGTTGGGAACAGAACACACCAAATCCCCAGAGAGGTGAGGAAGGTGAACAGAACAGCTCCACGCATGTACAGATGCTGCATCTCTTCACTTCTCCACCCAGAACTGCAAAGGATAAAAGCACAACCTTCGCCTTGGGAACCGGTTTGTATTTCTCAGCACCTGCATATCGGAAAACGTGGACGGCAAATGCCTGCCTCATTCCATCTGTCCAAAGCCACACTGAAGAGAGACAGAACTATGGACTCTGGCAGGATCTCGGCTGTAGAGGCTCCTGCGGGCTCCTGTCCCAGTCTTGCTTTCCAACTGCCCAGGGATGGAGGCTTAGCCGCCAAGTGGAAGGCAGGTGGCAGCGTGGGGGGCAGAGGCCTTCCAGTGCAGATCCCAGGCAGGGCCCTGTGGGCATGACATCTGCCTCCCGGGCTGCACGGGGGATGGAAACTCGGTTTAAAACAGGCTTCCTCCTTAGAGAGAGATCCCGCTGACTAAACTGTCGGAATTCCAGTGAACTTAGCAGCTATACACTTTCTTCTTTCAAATTTATTAAGGTGACTCTTCGGTTCCAATAAGTGTGACCCCCTTTCCCCGAACCTGGGAAGTGAATAAAGCCAGACCGTCCGAGCGGAGGAGGTACAGAGCAGAAATTCTATGGTTCCTCACTTCCACACACTCACCGCGACAGCTCCCAAGGCCCAGAGCCTCCTGGGCTTCCCCTCCTTGGTGCATCTGCCAGCCCGGGGAGGGGAGGACTGGGTCCCTTGGGCATCCTCGGCCAGGCCCCAGGCCGGGAAGGGAAGCTGGCTTCCCTCAGCGCCTGGGAAGGAAGTCCTGGGAAGTCTGTCCCTTAGCTGAAAAATATCTCCCGGACATATTTTAACATGTCATCGTCGTCCTCAGGGCTCCTGCTGCACGCAGGCTCAGACCCCGTGCACCCCCGAGGAGGGCCGAGGCCTGGAGGAAGGGCGTCTTTCCCATTGCCCTCATCCTCACTTCCACTCCCAGGAGAACTCGGTGACAACGTTGAGCAGGTTGGGGACAGCTGTTGTTTACCAGCGCCCACCAGGGTCGGCGGCTCTAAGGGCTTTTCCTGTTTCCGGGCCTGCAGGAGTAGGACAAACGAGAGGCAAAGCAGACGTGATGTTACTTCCCGAGTGAACGTGACGGTTTATCCATCAGCGATGCAGAAGCCACCGCGAAGCCAGCGTGTGACCAGGCCAAGCACTGCTCCCTGATCAGAGCCTCTCCTCCCACTCCCCTCCCTCCTACCCCCTTGCAGCTCCTGTAGAAGTCAAGACCAATGTGGGAGAGATGTGGGCAGGGGCCCGAGGAATACCAGAGTAGAAAAGAAAAACAGGAAAAATATATCTGGAAAGGCAGGGGTGACAGAATGGAAGGAGCAGGGGAAACAAAACTTGAGTGTGCGCCTAAGCTCTGGCACTTATTGGCGGTATAACTAAGGGGAAATCCCTGGGCCTCGATTTCTTTATCTGTAAAATGGGGATGACATCTGAAATAATGATCACCAGGTGATGGCAAGGATTAAATGACACAATAATCCATGAAAGTACCCGGTCAGCTACCCAATACGAAGGCGATACAATTACTATTCGCCTCAGAGCCCAGGAAGGCATTCGGCTAAGAAGTACAATGGTCAGAAGTCACCGAGACCCTTCGGAGAACATAAGCAGTTAAAGACTTCCCGTCCCCTTCCACATACCAGCACAGAGTCACCCCAGAGATGGCTGCCCTCCCTCCCACGGCAACTCCCTCCCCACGTGTCCAGCCCCAAACATTAAGTCCCACCTCACATGGGGAGAGGCCAAGGGAAGCACGACCTTGAGAGAAGTGCCAGACGAGGGCCTGGTGGAAGAAATGGGACGACAGATGCCGCCCCCCTCCCCTAAGGCCGCCTGAGAATGCAGGGCGTCTCTTTTATTGCCATTAATCAAGGGCCCAGTCCAGTTTCCGGCCCTCAGAGTAAGAGACACAGCTGACCATACCTCAATCAGGGTCCCCAGAGCGACGGCTACCATTTCAGCTTCACTCATGCAGTACACAGTCCTCACTGCAGCGAGCCTGAAAGGAAGGCATGACACTAGGGTGGGGACGGACGGGTCTCGGGTCTCACGAGGGGGAAGAACGTGAGAGCAAGAGTCACATCCCCAGGCCCACCCACCTGCTGCCGCTTTCCAATCTGGCCGGCTCCTGACAGTCAGTGCCCCACACTCAAGGGACACCAGCAGATCAAAGAGATCATCGCGTCCAGATGTGACTGACCCTCACCTGCACCCATGACCACAGTAGAGCAGACTGCAAGTCAGAAGGGAGGTGGGTCCAGTTAGGACAACTTAGAAAAGGAAGAGCCAGGGAGGACGGCACTGTAGTGCCCGGTCTAGGAGAATGCAGGGACGTCCCCTCCCCAGCAGCCTGAAGACTCCCCCAAATTACCACCATTCAACTAACTGGCCCTGCAGCTTCTGATTCCGTGCTAGCCCAGCGACTGCTACTCATCTGTCTGTCCCTGAAGGTCTGCCCGCGGGGAGGCTGGACCCTGGTCCACTTAGCTTGACTCCTGGCTGGTCACAATTTTTGGTGCAAATGAAGAGCCTGGCATTTTGGACAAGTGGTGTCTGAGAGCTTGGCTAATGTGTGCAAGCCAGAGGGGGAGCACTGCCTGGGAGCTGGCCCTTGAGGGCCTGGCTGCGGAGATGTACCCGCAGAGGCGGGGTCTGTCTGTGAGGGGAGGGCTCACTTCACCCCTGCAGGCTGTGCACCTGCAAGCTGAAAAGGCTTCTGCAGGGCTGAAACACCCACCCACCTCCCTGTGGAAGGCTCAGCCCCAGCAACTGCTATGCCCCCAAACCCTCCCTCCTCCTGATTCCCCGGGAACCCCAACCGGAAGTTGTCCCACCTTGTTGCAACAGTTTCCTGTGCTGCCGCCGGCCGTCTCCTCCCCTTGGGGGTCTTCGCTGGAACCTTTCTCTTCTCGGCCTCCTGGGTTGTCATCCATGTGGGAAGGACCCTCTTTTTATCCTCAGATTTTAAGTCTCCCATCTCGCTTTTCTCTCCTGAAGATGAGTCAGGGCCCAAGCTTAATGATTTGCTTTTCTAATTCAGGGCAGTAAACCCCACTCTCATCACACCAGGAATTATATAGGTCTGTGTGTCCTGTAACAAAGTCCAGTGAATTCTAAGAAGTTAGAATTCTTCCAGTTATCAGCTGTAATTACTGGTCAGGACAGGCCAGAGGTTAGCCGGGCAGAGAGCAGGGCCCAGGAGACTAGGACGGGCCATTCCTCTCCTCCTTGCCATCCAAGATGCTCGCTGCCCTCAGGGTGCCCCACCTCTCCTACCCTTAACATAGCTCTCGTGATCTCTCCCTCATCTCCCCAACTCCAGACTTATTTCCTCTACCTTGGTGTGGTTACAGGGAACCCCAAGACCCTTCTGATCCCCAGTAAGGTTGAATCAACCAACCCTCCCTCCCTTAATCCAAAGATACTTCTGACTGGCCAGATTTTAGCCACTAGTAGGGATCAGGGACCACAGCTGATGCTGGCTCTGGGATGGGAGAATCCCAAAGGCCCCAGGGCAGCCTCTCATCTAACCTGGTCTCTCTTCTCCCCTCCCCCTAACGCTCAAGTCCTCACCCTGGGGCTCAAAGGGTACAAATCGAATCCTGACAGCAGCTTAGGGCTCCGCCTAGGGAGGAGCTTACTGGAGCAGAGGTTTGCCTAGAAAAGGGTCAGCCCCGAATAAGGGATCCCTCTCTGAATCATAATCATTTATTACTCATCTAGGCTGTTTACAACTTGAGAAAAAAATGAGCAGGACGTCATCCTAACCTTTCTGGCCAGAGGACAGACCTTGGCCAACGTACCTCGTTGTAGTCCAACGTTAATAGTCATTCCCACAACTAACGAGCACTGCTAACCGCCAGGCATACGGACATTTATTCGACCCCGAGGCAGATATTATCAAGCCCATTTTACAAACGAGGAATTGACTGCAATGTGCACAAGGTTACAAAGTTTGAAATGGCCAGCCAGGACTCGCAGCCGAGTCGCGCAGGCCAAACCTTGCGCCTAACAGCCGCCATGCTGCCGGGGCTCCAAGGAGGGCAGAGGCCCGGCGGGGAGGGCCGGGAAGGCAGGAGCCCGCTCTACCTGGGGGAAACCCAGCTCCGCACGCTCGGAATGGGCCCGGCACTCCCCATCCACCGCCCGCCGCTGCCTCGGGGACCGTGCGCGGCCCCGACCGCGGCGAGACGAGTGCCAACCTGCAGGGGCGAGAGCGGAGGGGAGGCACGTGGACCTGCACGCGGGGCCTAGCGGACCACGGAAGGGAGGCCGCCCGCACGCTCGCTCGCGGCCCCGGTGCTCCGGGCAGGGGGCAGGACGGAGCTCAGTCCGGACCGCGCGCTTCTCCGGTCCGGGCTTCCCGCCTCCCCGGCTCCCGCGCCGCTCTTCCGGGGTTCCCGGGGGCGGGCCCGAGAGGCGGCCCGGGGCGGCGGTGGGGACGCGGCACTGCCCCGCCCCGCCTCTGCACTTCCGATCCCGGCCGCGGCCCGCGCAGAGACCCGGCGCGCCCCCTGCAGGCAGCTCGCGCCGCTGGCGTCCCCGCCCGGATCGGGACCCGCCTGCGGTCCGGGACCTGACAGTCTCTCCTGGACCAAACTCCGCTCGGGCTCCTCTGAACTCTCATCTAGGCCCTGCCTTTGGAGCTTCCCTGCCCCTCTCTGCATTGTCAGTTTTAGCAAGCATCCTACCAAGTCATTTTAGCCAGGACCCCCAACCCCAAACCTGATCGCCCTCCCATTTGGGAGGGTTCCTCGTCTTTCACCATCTTCCAGGTGATGTCTGATCACCTAGATTGCCTTCAGCAAGAATCCTGGTGCTGAGTTTAGCCAGAGCCCTCCTCCTCACCCATCCCCCTTACCCCTGGTGTTTCCTCTTAGAAACTTCCCATCCACTGACCCCACCCTGCTCCTTGGCTATAAAGTCCCTTTTCCTTGTATCGAGTTAAGCCTCATGGCTCTCCCCTACTACAAAACCTCACTGTAGTACCCGCCCTTGAATAAAGTCTGCCTTGATATTTTTAACAAGTGTCATGAATAATTTTCTATTTAACAGAATATTTTTTAACAGTCCCCAAACATGGCTCCATTTGAGGTGTGCTAGTCGGACTTTATTAGAGTGTTAATTCCTGCGCCCCCCCCGAGTGAGAAATTAGGGTGAGGGGAGGAGGGTCTGCATTTTTTAAAGCTCAGGATTCCCACAGGGATCAAGGCCAACTCTCCCTGCTGGGGGTCCACAACCCAGGGGGAGGGGGCACAAGGTGAGCCCCTTGGGTGCAGGAAAAGAAATTAAAGCCTCTGTTTATATCTGTTATCTTAAAGGAAGTAGGTGTCACTAACACTGAACATTCAGATTGGTGGCCAGGTGCTCCCTCTTCGAGTGGAGCAGCTCCACAAAGCTTCCCAGATGGTCTGTGTTCAGCCTGGTTCTGAGCACTGCTGTGGACACGTGGAGCTAGCATCTAGTTTTAGTTCAAATCACACTCAGCTTACAGCAGGCTAAGAGAGGCCAGCAAAGAAACCCCCAGGTCACAGACATGACGAAAAACACAAGCATAAGCAGTCAGAGGTGAAACTTCTCCCGCCATACTTTGAAGTAAAAGGATGATGAGAACAGACTGTCTGGCCCCAAAATGTGAAATTACCAAGACAGCCCTTTTGACTGTGATTTATAACAAATCTGCTAATGGGGTAATGAGTCTCCATACATTACAGGTGCACAACAGGGGAGCTCCATCCCAAGCTTGGGGACTCCGGACCCTGAAGCTCTCTTCCAGCTGTGTGGTGCTTTGGGTTTCTCTAAAGCAGTTGCACATGCTGGGCCGGAAACGTTTAACCCAATCAAGGCTTAGGGAGATAAATCCATGGTTTCAAGTCATAAAACCAACCCGTCGTACACTGGGGTCGTCTAGCTGCAGGCTGAACCTGGACTCTGCCTCCAGTCTTTTCCGGAGGGCAACACCTGGGGGGGTGGGGGGGAGCAGGCCCTGCTTCTCTGGTTCCACGAAAAGTGTTAGAACCGCTGACTTCCAGGGTCCTCTGCTCTCAAGCTGTGAAGCATCATTTTGTTTTGTGAATAAAGGAACAGAAAATACTTGTTCTTAGTGGAATCTCTCCTTCCATATTTGTCTCCCTTCAACCTCTTCCCATCACCAGCTGAAAAATGAGGTCTGAGGAACAGGAAACCTTTGCATCTGCGTAAGCAACTTTCTGTTTGAAGGGAGAGAAGCCCAAGCGGGGACAGAAAACTCAAACTGTGGGATCTGGACAGGCTGGAGTCAACAGCTAAAGTGCTTTGAAAGCCGTGCTCCCAGGCCCAGCAGAGGCGATAAGCATAGAGCAGACAGGTCAGTGGACAGAGAGGGGGAGGCCCCGAGGGGCTCTCAAGCAGCCCGGGCCAGAGCCGGGGGGCCACACCCACGCCAGGTACGCAGACTCGGGGGGTCTAAGCTGCACTGGCTTGACGGCTTCCCAATAAGCTGCCCTTGCCCAAAAGAATGGGAGGAGTCTTGCTGGGGTTCTGGGCAGGGGTTGAACAGCTCTTGTGAAGGAGAAGGAAACTCAAGTTTGGACGTGACTGACCGGATGAGAGCTCATCCCGGAGGGGTATGTGTGGCACAGGGAGGAACACCAGGGTGAACACAGCCTGACCAGCAGTCAGGATGGAGTGAGGGCTGGGGAGAGACGGGCCAGGAGGGGGCAGGTTTGGCCACCTGTATTTGCGAATTTCAAAAGGTCAGAGGTGAATGGGATTTGGGTTTTGTTTGTTTTTAGGCAGTATCGTGGTTTTGTTTTGTGTTTTTAGGCAGTGTGCTGTGGAACCCCACACAATCTCAAGCCAAAGTCAAAACAAAAGGGAGGCGGGTGTTCAGCCCAGAGCATACAGGAAAAGAGAGAAGACATAGCTTTTCAAGCGTACTTTGTTTCTTTGCAGTCCTTAAAGACATTCCAGTAGCTGTGGAGACCATATTGAGCAGAGAGAATGGGTAATAAGAGAAACTGAAACAAAATGGTGAAGTGAAAGTGAATTCTCTCACTCAAATGAAACACATGACGGCTTCTTAAATGTCCTACAGAATCACTGGGGGAGATAATTTGCTGTTTCAATGCAGAAGATGAGGAAAATCGTAAATGGAGAAGTCTTGTCTCTCTTCATTTGAAAAGAGCGTTTACCAAGGTAGAAATCGGTAAAAATGTGTAAGTAACTACTTATCAGTCTCTGGTGTTCTCTCATAATTGAGCCACATAAATCCCGACTCTTCCTCCAAACCCCAGCAGAATGGGAGCCAAGGCCTTAGTACCAACTTCATGATTCTCCAGAAGTAGGAAACTGGGAGTACCCCCTGCTCTGGACCTGCACCACCAGACCTGGGCTGCAGCCCAAAGAGGCCCTACGACGACTGTTCCGAGCACCGGGGCAACAAGGCCACCCCTGCCAAGTGTCGGAGCCGGAGACCCACGCCTCACCCGCCTCAGATGCAAAAGCAAGCTTGGCCCACTGGCTCCGGTCCTCTCAACATCCACCAGCAGAGGGCGCTGGCGGCTGGCTCCAGTCCACCTCAAGGATGTGAAGGTGACAGAATAAGCGGAGCCCCAGGGGCAGAGGGACCGGGACACCCAGGTGGATTGGGCAGCTGGAATCAGAGACCTCAGGCCCTAACCTCATCCCAAGAAGCTCCACCAATGCAGGGAAGAAAAAGAACACTATGACCTCCCTGACTGCAGCCCAAAGCAATAGGAAGAGCACAAACCTTAGCGAGCCAGTGCAGTGGGAGACAGGACGGCCTAGCTCCAAGGCAAAGTGACAAGCAAACCTCCCACACGGCTCAGTCCTACAGCTGGCAATAGCGGGCACGCAGGGCCTCCGCTCGCAGCTGACCAGCTCCCTGTAGGAACATCTGCCTCTCCAAGGGCAAAGGGCGAACCTTCTCCAACGCTCTGCTGCATGCACGCGTTCCAGAAAGAGCTACCAGATGACCATGAGAACATTCTTTTTTTTAAAAAAAAGATGAAAAATGAGCAAATATATACAAAATACTGTCAATCCCTCCTGGGCCAACAGAGCAGCCACCACGCTGCATCTCCTGCTTCCTGAACTTTCCTCCCCGCCACCTGGGGCATGCCTCTTGCACAGCCCAGCGTGCTGGTCTCTGGGGCACGCATGCCACGACTCAGTGTGGCTCCCGTCCAGTCTCTGCAGCTGGACAGAGCCGGGGTTCCCTGGACAGTTTTTCCCTGAGGAGTCCCCACACTGGCCAGGAGCGGGAAGCAGAGTGCCCTGTCTTCCTGTCCTGTTTCTCTACTCCCCCCAGGATAATACTGCTTCCATGGGTGTCCCTTGGGGCGGGTCCCATCACAGTTTATGAGCCAGCAGGGTGGTCAGCTTGATCTTGCCATCCATGGAGGCCGTGAGGCACGTCCCGCAGTCCAGGGCTGTGCTCCAGTCCACAGTAACCACAGGGGCTCGGTGGCCGCCCAGGCTCAAGCAGCTCTCCAGAACCTTCTCATCCCCGCCCAGCTGCAAGATAGGAGAGGAGGCATCAGCAGGCACTGTTCACAAACACAGCCACTTTATCCACCAAACTGCCTCGAGTCTGGGGGCTGCCACCCCACTGTGAGGCCTTCCCCGGGCACACACGCCCACCTTTCCCTTCCAGAAGATTTCAGTTTAATTTCTTGGGCCGGGAAATGCCTTCACTGTCCTGACTATATTTATTCCTTTGTTTTAGGTGGAAAACAGTATCCTATGCTCGAAAAGACAAGAGAATGTTCTCTGCCACCTTTAACTTGCTGTGGGCCACTGCCTTCTGCACCCACCCCAAACTACACCCAGTACTTTTCCTACATGGCTTACTGCTCCCCAGCATTAGATCGTGCATCTGCTGCTGTTTCCCATTTGCTTCCCCCAGGAATGCAGGCTTCAGGAGGGCAGGATGCTGGTCCTCTCCTGCATCAGCCAGCACAGTGCTGCCACACACGGGCCGCCGAGGATGTGTGAGCCCGGCTCTCCCTCGCCCACCAGCACCAGCCTCCCGGGACTCAGCCCACGGCCATGAAGAGTCGGAAGGGAACAAGGAAGGGGAGGCCAGGAGCACACTGAATAAAGATCAATCCAGCGACAGACAACACCCATGAGTAGGGAACAGAAGTCGGCCTTCGTGGAGAAAACATCTTTAAAAATCATAGACTGTTTAAAGATTGTAAAAATGGGATCTAGAGTTCATTATATTCCTTAAGTAACTAGACCCCATAACTGGCATTTCAAAAATTATACAGAGGGAAATCTTCCAACCCATTAACTGGTTACAGAGCAAGTCTGACGGCAAATCGTCAGCTCACAGTAGCCACCCTGGCTCCAGCAGAATGCCAGAAACTTCTCATCCCCAGCCAGCTGCAGGAGGACAGGAGAGGAGGCGGCATTGTGGACAAATGACAAAGGCTGATCGGGACAAAAAACAAGTGACAAAGGCTCATGATTAAAAATACACAAACACACACACAACACACATAAAATCATATACAAAGTATAGCCTAACAAACTCAGTTTTTAAATAATAAAATACAATCAGGCTGGCAAACAGAAATCTTTTTATAGTATCTTCTAATAGCAATTACAAGAAATTACAGAGCTAATTTTAAGAAGGCAAAAGCCACTCAAAGCATCATCATCTGTGGAAAAGAGGAGCCTCCCTGATGGTAAGCCCGGATTACCCGGTGCCACGCTCCGGACCAGGAGTCGGCTCCTGGCTTGACCCCTGTGCACTCCCCCTTCCCTCCCCCCATTCCAGTGCTCTCACTTGCCTCTATCCCTGTGGGGCCCCAAGGCCTGCCTCACTCCCTGTCCTCCCTAACTCCTCCTCCAAAAGCCTCAAATCTATAGACCACCCTCCCCACCCCCACAGGGGTCTCCCCTGAGCACCCAGCCCCTGCCCAGCTGCCTCCGTTCAGAACCCTGCCCTGTCCCTGGTGTTGGTGTTTTGAGTGTGAGCCCCACGAGAGGAGGATCGCACCCTCCCCTATATGCGCTCCACAGAGCCTAGGCCAACACCTGCACACGACTGCCATCCACGGCACGTGCTGTCCACTAACCGATGAGCTGGGGTAACGAGGGCACGGACAGCCCCATGCAGAGAACATTCTTCTTGTGTCTCTACAGCTACAGACTAAATAAACACTACCACTAGGCAAAGAATTACCACTGAGGCTAAGAACTGGTTTGCGCGGTTACCAAAAACATATGCTTAGGAGCACGTGGGTGGTTCAGTCAGTTAAGTGGCCGCCTTCAGCTCAGGTCACGATCCCCAGGTCCTGGGATCGAGCCCCGTCAGGCTCCCTGTTCAGCGAGGGGTCTGCTTCTCCCTCTGCCCCTCCCCCACTGCTCGTGTGTGTGTGTGTGTGTGTGTGTGTGTGTGTGTGTAAAAAACAAAAAAACATATGCTTAGACTACAACGCAAATCCTCATCACTAGTCTGATAATACTAGTAAAATAGAAGAGATTTATAATTTCAGACAATTGTACAAAAAAGTACATGAACCAGAGAAGCTCAGACATGAGAATTAAAACAAGCACATAAACTGAGGGACAAAAACCAACATGGACCACTTATATCCTGGTGTGATAAAGCACACCCCAGATTTCTGCCTTGGCCAAGGACTATAATGTCCGTGACCCACGGGACCTCCAATAAACTACAGACTTCTACACCAGATCAGAGTCACTAAAGCAGATCATGGAAGCACTTGCCCGAGCGCGGCGCGTTCCCCTAACCCAACACACTTCCCAACGGTTCTCCCTATTTCTTCACGTTTTCTGTAACTGATATTATTCCCAAGGAACAAAAGCAGAGAAGGGCCAAAATCTTGTCAAACGACTGCAAATGGACAAGTAGAGAAAAGGATGAGTGTCCCCACCCTGTCCCCACCCCCGAGCTGAGGATCAGCCCCCTTGCCTGACCTGCAGCCACAAGGCGCCATCCACCCTGGGTCAGAGGCTTCTCCACACTCAGCCCACACCTCCAGGGAGGAACCTCCCTGCCCACCGAGACAGGCACCCCTCCAGTACCTTGTAGATGATGCCCCCTGTGGCAGAACACGTCAGCATGTAATTTCCCTCTGAGTCAAAAGCGAAGAGTCGGCCCCGGGGAACTTGAACCTGCTTGTAGCCGCTGTAACCCGACAGCACGAAGGGGCCCGTGGCGTCGGAGGGGAGGCCGTACTCAGACACCTTCAGGCCACTCCTGTGGATGTTCCACTGGATGAACTGCAACCACAAAGCACACCCTAAATCTCTTTCAGTGGGGTGGGGGGGGGGGCAGGCCTGGTAGGAGGAGGATAGACCCCAGGGCAGAGGAGGTGGGCTGACAGGCCACCAGGAAATGTAGTGGGATGACCCCTCAGTCTGTCTTTTCCCAACACAATTCAAACATTTTTTTAGAGAACATCTTAGAAAGAGCCCGTAACTTCACAGCAGAGCATGAATTTTCTCTCTGGCCTGACTCCAGGAGAGGAAAAGCCTAGCCAACTGCCCATGTTTGGATTCCCGTCTCTCAAGCAGGGGGAATGTTCCAAGTGATCATTATGATTACTGTTGCTGTTGTTGTTTCTAGGGTTAGAACCCAACTGGGTTTTTCCGACTTAGAAGAGAGGATAAACTCCAAATATGTTCCCACTGTCTCAGTGGTGTAATCAATTCAACATGAGCAGTACCATTAAAAACTAGCTTCACAGACTGTAGTGTAATAATCCTTTAGTCTACACCGTGGACAAGCCGCCTGTGTGACCACCTCTTCACTGAGAATCCTACTCAAATAAATAGGAAGTCAAGCTTTAACTTAAAACTCCCTTCCCATAGTTTTCAAATGATAATTTACTTTGTAATTACAGTTTTCAATGAATAATACCGGCACACAGTATAAAATCCAAAGGTACAGGAGGGTATACATGGAAACGAAGTCTTCCTCTCTCCTCTGCCTGCCAGCCTCCCACCCCCAGCTCCCTCTCCATGGATCCGAACATGTCCTTCCAGAAAGAACACGTACGGAGGCACTTATCTTCACTTTTTATCCCCCCAAACCGCCGCTTCCTTTTGACTCCGCTCAGGCCTATCTGCACTGCCTCTAGGAAGAAACTCATGCTGTGACACCCAATGACCTAGGTCAGCCCAACCCAGGGCCTAAGCTGGACCCCCCTCATCCACCTAGAGTGGGAAGACTCACTTCTGCTACAACTAGGAGGGAGGCTGGGTTCTCCCCTTTCCTCATCGCCAACTCCCACTATGCCTGTTCACACCTCACAACAGTGCCAAGACTGGTGACTCTGGCTGCCCCCCTTGTATGGATGACACGCTGCGGCAGAGAGGGGCCTGAGGCAGACAGCCGGTAAAGGGCACGGTCAGGATTCATCTCAGCCCCTCATGCTATTCTGGTGCTCTCTGGAATCTCCGATGCTGAAGCCAGAGGAAAAGAGTCCGGGTCAAACTACGGCTCCCACCTACCTTCCCATCCTGGCCGATACTGTACACGGTGTTCTCGTCGTAACTGAATTCCACCGAGTAGACCTCCCCGCAGTGGGCCTTCCAGCTCATGGCGCACTCGTGCTGCTGCATATCTGAGGCGATGAGATGCCGCTAAGACCCCCCACCCGGGCCCTGGGGAGGCATCCGCCCACGACAGGAGGCGTCTCTTGCCCTCCGCCCAAAGGGCAGGAACTGTTCTGGAGGCAGAGGGCCTCCTGGAGCCTCCAGGTATCAGAGAGCTGACCCCTGCCAAAGAGCTCTTCCGTTGTGCTCATTCTCTCCACCAGTGTATGAATCAGCGATTTAATATTCCTAAAATTGAAGCTTTTCTCCCTGGGTCAAAAATGAGGTTCAGGAATCCCTGGGCAGAACCTGAGCTCGTCTGGGAAGCACACAAGTCTAGGGAGACAAACAAATCCTTCCGAGGCGGCCTCTGTAAGGTCCCACAGGGTGCCTGGGGGATCTGCTAGACACGGTCCCTGGTGCCCTCCCAGACTCTCGGAGTCTCCTGGGCCGGGTCTGCAGGGGCTCCTCAAGCAGCATGCCGGGTAACTCCGCTGCACACCGTTCTAATGCTCTCACCAGAAGGCACGAGCCACCCTGAGCAGACGGCACAGCCGTACTCTCCCGTGTCCTCCTGGGTCTCATTCAGGCCACAGGACTCGGATCACACAGCGCCAGACTCAAGGCCTGCTAAGCCCCACCACTCCCAGGTCCACAGACACCAACCGTGTTCAAGGGGACTGATTACAGAGGTTTTGAAAAGAGCAGACTTGGACCAAAGTTAAGCTCTATTTCGAGCATCCCGAATTGGGTGGGCTTCGGCAATAGCTTCTAGTCCAGCCCGCAAAAATGCAACTCTCTTCTCTGGGCCACTGAAGGAGGGCATCAGACGGCCACGAGCACAGCTGCTTACCAAACAGCCGGATGACGCCATCAGCCGCCCCTGTGACCAGTAGGTTCCCATTGTGATTGAAGGCTGTGCAGTTGATGGCAATGGGCTCGGGGTCCAGAGAGAACTGGAGCTAGTTAAAAACAAAAACAAAAAGAAACAAACAAAACCTAACTAAATTTGAAATTGTAGGAGAATAACCACCCAATATTCAAGATAAATCTCTCTGAAAAGGGAAGAAGATCAAGATTGGGGAGGGTACATGAGAGCATGAAAAGTGCTGGAAGGTTCCACTTTCCAACTGTGACCGTACCTAGGTGCTCACGTTACAGCTTCTCTTCTCGTTATACTGCACACCTGATTACAAGATTCTTTTGTATGTACTCCGTATTTCATTAAAACTTTAAAGATAACAAGTAAACATAAAACTACCCGAAGTGCCTTCGAGGCAAAGAGGAAGATGAAGAAGGATCTAACTAAGCTGGGCTGTACATGGGAAAGCACTGAGAGATGCTGGAGGACAGATGTGTGCCAGACGGGGCAGGGATAAGACCTCTCCCTCGGGGGACAGCGCACGGGGGACAGCACAGGACACACCCCAAAGCTGGAGCAGTGGGGAGGGTAGACCGCGGGGGCCCTGAGGGAGTGTGGACAGGAAATCTGGAAGAACAGGGAGCGGTGTGACATGCGCCAGGGTCTGTTGTTCCCTGCAGCGAGTCAGGGGCACCGCCGCAGGAGGTCGTGCGGCGTCTGGCGAGGGGCACTCAAGAGCCGGTCTAGGGCATGGCCCTGGAAGTGCACAGAAGTGGGCCGAATGGAAACAGTTTGCAGGTGGAGTTGACAATGTCTGTTCATGCGCTCTGCCGGGTGAGAGAGAAGGGTGGCTCCAGAAAGGCACGCAGTTCCTCAGTGGGGCGCATTTGCCAAGACAAGGAAAACTTGGGAGGAGAACAGACATGGCAGGGCACTGTGGGCAAGAATTCGGTGGGGTCCTGATCCCTGCGCTCCAGGGAGACCCCCAGAGGGGAATGCACCCCATCTCTACAGGCAGGTGCAGGGAGGTGCGACACAGCCCATCTATGGGACAGGGACCCTTCCTGGAGTCCAGTGGCCTTGGAAACCCATCTGTTCAACGCAACGGCCACACCACATTTGCGCCCCAAAACTAACTTCAATAAGAAACATCACTGCCTTCTAAATGTGTGCATTTACACATCATTTCTCTCTCTGGGGGCTGAGGGTCACAGCAGCAAGCACCCGCCACGGTAGGTGGGTAGTCCTCGGCTCCCGAGGCAGGTGGGCCAGGTGGCCCCATGAGCCAGCTGCCGCATGGCTGTCACTTCTCAAGAACCTGCACGTGTCCCCACTACCTCCAGCTGCTGCTGGCAACTTTATGCAATGCTACGTTAATGGGGAGTCAGAGACTCCACCTGTCTCCTAAAAAACAAGCCGCTTGATTGCATAACACAAAGTGAAAGAAGCCAATCTGACCATGCTGTAAGATTCCAACTACATGATGTGACGGAGAAAGCAAAGCTATGGAGACAGTATAAAGACCGGCAGTTGCCAAGGTCTGAGGGGCAGGGGGATGAACAGGAGCACAGAGGATCTTCAGGCTGCTTTTAGTGAAAATGGCCTGTGTGGTACCATAATGGTGGATACACGTCCTCATACATTTGTCCGAACCCAGACAGTGTACGACACCAAGACAGAACCCGAAGGCAGGCTGGGAGCATGAGGTGATCAGCTGTGTCACTGGGGGGGCCTCTGTTGTAACCAGGGTGCCGCTCTGCTGGGGGGGGCACAGCAGGGGGTAAATGGGAGATCTCTGGACCCTCCTCCCAATCTTGATGTGAACCAGAACTGCTCAAAAAAAATTTTTAAAGCCTTTCAATATAAAGAAAATTAAATTTAAAAAATTTAATAAACCACAAGGGTGCTCTAATAGGCTGTGTGTGACTTCTGAGTCTGTGGCACAATTCTGGATGACTTCAGTTGCTAGCAATCTGCCCAACTGGAGCGTTCTACTTTTCAACACTTCAACTTTGAACCTGCTTCACCAGCTGAAATCTGAGGAGACTAGTGCTCGCTTCCGCAGCACATACACTGAAATCTGAGGAGACCGAAGCAAAGACAGGATGAGGCTCATCAGAAAGACAGTGCTACTGCAGGAGCGGGACCCCACACAGACCCACGGGGAGCCCCCCAGGGGCAGGGCCTGCACCTGCTGCTTCATGGTTTTCGTGTCCCACAGCAGCAGCTTGCCGGGAACCTGGTTAGTAGCCTTGCTGCCGATATCCGGAGCCGAGAAGTCCACCTGGGAAGCGAGGCTCGGAGCGGCGGCCGAACAGACAAAGGAGGCCCCGTTGGGGCTGCAGGCAAGCGACAGGATTCTGCAATACACATGGGGCCGGGTCAGCACTCCGCCTGCCCCCAGAGGAAGACAGGCTTCAGCTCTGAGGCGGGTCCTGCTGTGGGGATGGGGCAGAAGGCCCAGCACAGAACCAGGCCCCGCAGAGCATGGAGGCTGTGGGCCACGGCCTCCCACTCACCTGGGCATATCATCGTTGATGCTGATCTCACACAGATTCTTCTTGGCTTCCGTGTCATAAAGACGCACCGTCCCCACACCACTGCCCAGCAAGAGCTGGAATGAGAAGGAGCGGGGGTGCAAAGCACAGCACGGGGCTCAGGCCGGGTCAGGGAGGACCACTGCGGGGCCAGGCCCACAGTGGGGTGCGGGTGTGGGCAGGCTGCAGGGGTGAGGCCCCGCCTCCGCCTACCTCCCCACACTCAGGTGAAATCTGGCTAACATGGGCCTCATTTAAAAATTACATGAAGACATCAGAGGTGACCTTGAACAGAAGTGGAACTTCAAAAGGAATCTATGGACTAGGAGAGAGGTATCGCCTCAGATATACCTGGAACTGTGCTGGCTCATTAAATGAGGCCCTCTGACCTTCCCTCCCTTTCTGCCAGTTTTAAATCCCAGCTGTGCCTGTCCTCCCTTCTCGCTCCTCATCTACCTGCCACACCTCCCTGGGTACTGGCCCCTGGCTGCCTGCCCCAGTGGCACGTTCTGGGGGCGGCTCTGGGCCTGTAATGGCCTCCAGAAAAAACAGAAAAGATTATTCTTGCCTTCAGGCATTTGTGATTTACTGGGTAAGAAGCTTCAAAGATAATAATGGGTACGGCCAGAAGAAAGCACCAGAAGCAGGTCTGAGGATATCCCCCAGGAATATTACTTACCTTCTGACCTCAAATTAACACTGGCAAATTAATATGTTTACAGGGTAAGCTCTGAGATCCTAGTACCACAAGGATAATTCCTGCAGGTTGTCAAAAGTTATTAAAAAACAAAACAAAACAAAACCAATGAGGTTTGCCCCTTGGGCTGCCTTGTATGATCTCCTCGGAACGGAATACAATGAAAGAAAACACTGTGAATCAACTTTACCTCCTTAACTACAAAGCCTCTCTCAAATAGTGAAGTCCAAAAGGGAAAAGAACACTGTACTACGTACTAATAGCACTGTAGTAGACCTGTGGGGACCCCAAACAGGACACCATCCCCACCAGCCTAATCTGCTACCCCGGGAGTCTGCCACGGGGAGGGGTCTCAGCAGGAGGAGGGGCAGCTGAGAACGTTTGTCGTGGGTTGTCAGAAACTGGACAAATGACAGGAGCTGACGGGGGAGAACGGGAGGCAAGCTGGTGTCCCCCCAGCCAGAGAGGAAGCAGCACTCCCCCACCAGACAGGTTTTCCAGGTCCCACTACCATCGGATTTCAATTCCTGTGAATCCAATAACCTCCCTGCTGCCCCCAAACACGAGCCTGCTGGGACAGTCTGGATGTGTGTCCCCCCAAGCCCAAGGAAGAGAGAAGGGAGGGGCTGGGTTTGGCTGCCTCAGCTCAGCCTGTGGTGCCAGACGCCGGGGCACGGCCTCGGGAACACCTCACTTAGACGGCAACAAGGCGGGCATCACTCACCAGCCTGTCCCGCTTGGTGGCCCACTCCAGGGACAGCAGCGGCGACTTAGAAATGGAGGACGCTTTGGTCTGCATGATGGGGTTGAAGGACCACACTTTGATGACCCCATCGACGTCTAAGCTGGCGACCCTCCTCCCCGAGCAGTCCACTCTAAGATGGAAGAGAAGGAGGCCATTATCATCCTCGCCCGAGCCCGCCAGTCTCTTCGGCTAGCACCCAGAGCATTGCTTTGCTGACTTCTCAACTGTTTCCCAAACTGCCTACACTCCAAGGATGGGCGTGGGCTATTTCTAGAAGTATTCATTCAGTCACCTGCCCAAAAACTACGAACGCAGGACCTGCTCTGTGCTGAGCCCTGTGGGAAAGAGTGGGGACAGAGCAGTGGGGCAGTGCACGCGGCCCCACGCCCAGGCAGCGGCGCCTCCTGCGGCGGGGCTCCAGAGCCACCGGGGCCACGGCAGGGAGCCCCCCACTCTCCGTAAACCACACTCCGTGAGGCCTTCTCAGAGATGTCATGCTTTTACCACATGTGACTAAAAACTTGTACATGGTGAAGGTGTACCAAAAAGTAAAGCAACATAAAGCAAATGAAAATTAAGTCTCAGGGAGTTCAAATAAAAGGTAACTTGTTCCTAGAACTCAGAGTCCCACAGTGAGAAAGGACAGAGAGGCTACCCCCACCAAGAGCAGCTGTCCAGCCCTCCTCAGACTCTAGAGGGATGACTGTGGTCCATCAGGGACCATCCCACCGGGTGGACCTCCTGCCTGCCACACCTTCACACGCACAGCCTGACAAGCCAGGCTTCCCAGGGAGCCAGCCCCTCCAGCCCAGTCAGCACTTTCCCTGCCGGGGGCCTCCCCCTGACCCCAGCCCACCTGCAGTGCATGATGGAGGAGTGGTGCTCCCCGTACTCCTCCTGCCCCAGCACAATGAACGGCTGCTCAGGGCGGGCCCCTCCGCCCTCGGCACCGGCTGCAGAAGCCCGTGTCAGCGTCTCCAGTGCCTCCACACGGAGCTCTGGGCAGGGCTCGGCCTCTGGGCCACTAACCTCGGCCTTCTTCTCTGCGCTCTGGGACAAGCAAAGTGGCAACAAGTGAGCTGTGAGTAGTCCGCACATCTGGGGACCTGCTGCAGGACAGCTAGGATGCCAGGCCACAGCATGCTGGGGGAGGCTCTCAGTGGGCACAGGCTCTAGAAGAAGGAGCTCTGGATGCCGAGAGCAGCACCCAGCTTGTCCCAGGAGAGGCAGGCTTCTGCTCTGCCAATGGCACCTCTCTAGAGACCTTCCCCCTCTCACAGGCCCTGCTGAGCGAGTCGTGGGCCATGGGCACCCTCGCCCTGTCACAGCTGACACGACGCAGGACAGGCCGACAATAAAAATTAGTGAGCACTTAGTAAGTGCCAGGCACTGTGTGACTACATTTCATTCGCTCATTTAATCCTGCCCCAAACCATCTGAGATCCTATTATTAACCCCATTTGATGACTGTGGAAACTAAGACTGAAAGCAGAAAGTTAAGGAACTTGCCCAAGGTCAAGAGCTGGCAAGGGGCAGAACTGGATGTGAAGCCAGGTCAGTCAGAGATAGGCCTCGCCCCTCACCAGCATCCCACCACGCCGGGGCCAAGAGACCGAGGTGACTGGCCAGACATAAAGATGGAGACCCGAGGACAGCCGCAAAGCCAGAACAAGGCTGGGCCCCAGAGGGCACCCCGCACACCCTGTCACCCGGCAGGTCCGCAGCTGCCCTGGTCTCCGCCTCGCTGGTGTGCTGTTGGCCACCATGACTACGACTATTCCCCCAGACATACCCCGGGCCAGGGGGCATCCGCCAGGGCAAACCCCGCCACCCCCCACGGCTCCTGAGACTCTTTGGAGTGCTCTTCGGCATCTCAGAAAGCACAGTTCCACAGAAAAAACCTAACAGCAGGAGACAGACCTCCAAGCTCAGACAGGTGCCTTTGGGGGGCGGCTAAGCTCAGGTGCGTCTCTAATCCAACGGTGTCGGAACGGGACACTCTGAGGTCTGAGCCGTGGGGGTCTACGCCATCAGATTGCAGCTGGTGCAGGGCTGGGAAGCAGCACGAGCGCCTCTGAAATTGGCAAGCAGCCCCAAAGAGAGGATAAGTGGTCAACAAGGTGACTTAGCCAGCAAATCCCTTGGGCATTTCCCTTCAATCCGGAGTATGTGAGAGAAAGAAGCAGCTTTACTGCCAGGAAGAGGAGACCTCGACCCATTTTCAGGAGAGAGGGGAGTCCCAGGGCTCAGCGCGGCAAGGGCCCAGGCCGCAGCACAACATGGCATGACAGGGCAGCGTCTCCAGCAGGGGATACGGGAGGAAGGGACCCTGTGATGGAGCAAGGCTGGGTGATTATGGGTTAAAGCAAGGGAAGCAGGTCTCTCCGGCCAAGCCTCAGAGAACCTGTGACCCCCGAGCAGTATTACGCAGAAATCAGGAGAGATAAGGGCACGCTCTGCACCACCCCATCTATATCCACGGCCCCCAAGAGTAGCCACGCGGCGTCCCCACAGGAACTCATCCGCTGCCAAGACCAAGCCATACCTGCAAAGTCATAGAGAAGAGCTCCTTCCTCTCTTTGCCGTGGTCCTGCAGGCGCCGCTGTCGGTGCTGCGACCAGCTGGACTCCCCGGACGCCAGTCCACTCAAGAGGCTCTTCCCGTCTCGGGGCCCGCACGCAGCGTCCTTTCCCTTAGCAGCCTAGAGGGCGAGACAGCGGGCGGTGAAGTGTCGCTTCCTGCCTGAGCCCAGGCCATGACCCTTAGCCAGGGAGGGAAGCAGAAGCCAGGGGGCAGCTTCGCTACCCCACAGCTCCTGGGTTAAGGTTTCTCCAGGGCGGTGCTGAGAGGTAGCTAGAATGTTACCGTCTCAGCCTAGGGGTGAGTCAAGAGTGGAACACGAGCAGTCTGGACCCCCTCCTTTCGGTTCTCCACTCCCCTGTTATAAGAGGTAGGTCACCAACTCCTCAGCCTGCCATACCCTTCACCTGCAGACAGACAGACACATACAACTCCCTCATCTAACCAGAACAATTAACTCCAGCTAGGGGGGAGGAGACCCGTGCTTACTAAGCGATGACTATGAGAGGGGTCAGGACCTATGCTAGGTGTCAGAAACATCTGCAAGCAACTCTGTTTGGGCAATACAAAAAAAAAAAAAAAATTATGCAACATACAATCACCTCTCTGGAGGCAAAAAGGAACACAATACCCTCTCTTGTTTGGGGCCAAGTATATGACTAAGCCAGCTAATGTTAACAAATACTGAGGTATTTGGAAATGATTACTAGGCAATCAGAAATTCTTAACAGAAATTGTTGGAAACTCAAGGACCTTTGAGCAAGATACACTGGACAGGAAAGAAACTGGCATCTTCTGGCCCCTTTTCATGGCAGGAGTGATAAAGTCAACCACGGTTACAGCAAATGAATTCAATAATCCCCACCCACTTTCATGGGGAGAAGATTTTTAATCTAGAGCCCTTTTATTTTTTAAAAGATGTATTTATGAGAGTGAGCGAGCATAGGGGGGAGGGAGGAGGGAGAGAAAGAAGTCCCAAGCAGACTCCCTGCTGAGCACAGTGGCAGACTTGGGGCTCAATCCCATGACCCTGAGATCATGACCTGAGCTGAAACCGAGAGTTGGATGCTCAAGCGACTGAGTCACCCAGGCGCCCCTAGAGCCTTTTTAAAAGGAGATGTCACCTTATCCTTTCCAGATTATTTGGCTGGGCTGTTTCCAACCTTACTCCCACAAACTGTGATGGTCAAAACTGCTCCCCTCCCTCCGCCTTATGTTACACTCCGAGCAAAGGGATCTGGATGCAAACAGCCACTCAGGTTTGAGACCAACCTCTTGGCAAGTCATCTGCGCACAAGACGTAAGTGTAGAGAACGAACTCAACCAAAGTCTGCTTGTTGCTTTCTACTTCTTCTACTTCCTAGTTTTCACGTTAATACTAAACAACTTAAAACAACACAGATTCCTTGGGACCCCAGAGCCATAGGAAGAGTTAAAAAGGAAACTTTAAAGGACTATGAGTTCACATGGAGCCTAACTATAGCTGACCTTCACAGTATTGGTTATTTCTGTTTTTCTGACTGAGGTGATCTCAAGGGTTTCCACTTATGCTTTTAACAGAGGTTTCTTCTAGGAAAAGTATTTGATTCTCCACATTCTGGCTTATTTTAGGAGAAGTAAGGTTCTTAGTCAAGATAAAAGAGATAAACTTAAAAAGAAAACCCATGACAACAATAATAGCATCAAAATAGATTACTCATTGAATGCTGACCATATAGAAGACACCGTGCTAAGAACTTTACAAATGTTCCCTTAAAATAAAGATGAGGACATTATTTTAAAAGGAAGTGAGGCTTAGGTTAAGTTACTGCTCCCACAGGGAGAAGTGGACAGAGGCGGAATTCCCACCCAAATCTGACAGCAAACCCCACACTCTGAGAAACCTGATGAAAGCAACAGCATGAAAAGAACACAGAGAAGAAAGTGACAGTGAATAGAAATAAAAAAAAAAAGAGAAAAGAAGAAATGTCATGTTCCCAGAGCTAAATAACATAACAAAGACAAGGCCCTTCTCACAGTACTTCTGGCCATTTTTGAGAAGTAACTCACAGTTCGTGGAACCCTGAAGAGGTTCCACAGTTTTAGAAAGTGCAAGAAGACTTCTCTTACCTACCGAGAAGAGGTGGTCGAGATATACGAGAAGGTCTTGAAACTATGGCGTACCTCACATGGCCCCCAGGCGGGCTGTGCTCACTCCCTGGGAGGTGATCCAAGGGTGCCGGCCCTCATTATACGAATCCACTGATTCCTCCCCATATCTCTAATCAAGAGGGCGAATCAGACTGAAGACTTCCACAAGGGTAGCTATACTTGTACCAGACAAAATAGACTTTAAGCCAAAGACTATGATAAGAAACAAAGAAGGTCATTATGTAATGATGAAGGGGTCCATCCAGTAAGAGGATATGACGCTTGTAAGTATTTATGCACCTGACACAGGACCACTTAAATATATACAGCAAATACCAAGGAGAAATAGGCAGCACCTTCAACAGTGGAAAGACCATCCAGACAGAAAATCAATAAGGAAACACTGCACTTGAACTACATTTTAGACGGACCTTTAGATGGACCTAAAAGACAGATACAAAACATCCCATCCAAAAGCAGAATATATACCCTTCTCAAGCACATGGAACATTTCCAGGATAGATCACACGTTAGGCCACAAAACAAGGCTTAATAAATTTGAGAAGACTGAAATAATATCAGGCATCACAATCATATCAAACTACAAGTCAATCATAAGAAAATCTAAAAATTCACAAGTATGTGGAGATTAAACAACACGTTCCTGAACAACCAATGGATCAAAGCAGCAATCAGAAAGAGAAACTAAAAAATATCTTGAGAGAAAATGGAAACATGGCACACCAAAACTTAAAAGATGCAGGAGGCGCAGTTCCAAGAGGGAAATTCATAGCGATAAATGCCTGCATCAAGAAACAAGAAATATCTCAAATGAACAACTCCCTCAAGGAACTAGAAAAACAAATGAAGCCCAAAGTTAGAAAAAAAGGAAATAATGAAGATCAGAATGAAAATTAATGAAATAGAGACAAAAGAACAACATAAATGATCAATATAGCCAGTTTTTTAAAAGATAAACAAAATAGACAAACCTCTACCAAGAGAAAAAGAGGACTCAAAAATAAAGAATTCCAAAACATGTCTCTAAAAGAAAGCTCTCACATTCTAATAGAAAAGACAAAAAAACCGACAGTAGAGGCCATGTTTTCTGGTTAAACATGGCTATGGCAACTCCACAGTCAGCTATGTACACAGCAGGGAAGAGAAAGAAGATCACTTTCCTGGGTTGACAGCTATTTTCCAAAATAATGGGATCCAGGCAAGTGAGGAAGTCTCAAAAAGCCTGGACCAACTATTATGCAGTTGTGACAGATTTATCAGCCTGACCAAGAGATATTTACACTGGACATTAGAGAAGAAAAGGGAAAAGGATCCATACAATATTGCATTCATGCCCTGGAAGTACATGGACCACAAGAGATCCAGCCTGGGGCCCAAGGGTGGGGAATGCCACAGAGGGCAGACAGGTACTTCGTGGCCACTCTCTTCCTCCCCTGCTCACCCGCTACACCTGAGAAATCGTGCCTCTTCTCTTTTCAGTGCTGTCTTTTTTTTTTTTTTTTTAAAGATTTTATTTATTTATTTATTTGACAGAGAGAGACACAACGAGAGAGGGAACACAAGCAGGGGAGTGGGAGAGGGAAAAGCAGGCTTCCTGCTGAGCAGGGAGCCCGATGCAGGGCTCGATCCCAGGACCCTGGGATCATGACCTGAGCTGAAGGCAGACTTAACCGACTGAGCCACCCAGGCACCCCTCAGTGCTAAGTCTTAAGAGCATTCAATGAGCCCATACTGATGGAAGAGAGAGGCTTGAAATGGACTTCAAATTCCTCTACCTGATACAAAAGTCACTTGTAGCACTTCCCCAGCCCAGACAGGACATACAACATGAAGAACAACAAAGGCAGGGCTTCCCTCCAAGTCAGGATGGCAAGGAAGTTTCCGGTACGTCCTCAGGTAAGGGCTGGACCATCCTCCAAAATGGAAATTCAAACAGGTGTCAACAAAAGGCACCACAATGAACTGAAAAACTGCTTTTATAATGAGAGAGTAGTTTATGCCAAGAGAGCCATGGACCTACACGTGACCTATGAGATCTGGCTTAGAGTGTCTCCTTCAGCTGCATCTCATTATTTGCTCAAGAAGGGTGAACAACAAAAAACGATAATGTACTAAAAGCTGATGAATGCAGCTCTCCATGGAACACTTTAATAAGTAGGTTAAGGTAAGCTTGTATCTAACTACAACTGTACCTAACTTAAAAATGTTTACTCTGATGAAACTGGTAATTCAGTTTTGGTTTTTTTTAAGATTTTATTTATTTTACAGGGAGAGACACAGCAAGAGAGGGAACACAAGCAGGGGAGTGGGAGAGGGAGAAGCAGGCTCCCCACCGAGCAGGGAGCCCAATGTGGGGCTCGATCCCAGGACCCTGGGATCATGACCTAAGCCGAAGGCAGACGCTTAACGACTGAGCCACCCAGGCGCCCCTGGTAATTCACAGTTTTGAAAGCAAACCTCGTAAAAGTCTTAACTACCAGATTCACATAACATTCCAAATGGTCCAAATTATATTGTCATATTCCATCACAATCTACCTGTCTTCTGCAGTTCAGAACAAATATTTTAACCTGTGTTTTATCACTTCACCTTTGCATTTCTCTCTGGAGAGAGAGAGAAATTAATTTTCTGTGGCCTGAGCAGAGTTTACCAGGCAGTCACCCAGATGGGGCAGGAAACAGGTTCCAGTAATCCGGTCTCACCTGAAGTAAAACAAAGCTACCCAGAACACAGGACCTCATCACACATAAAATTATAGAACAAAAGTCGTGGGAGAGGGCTCCCTTTTCCTCCATCCCATTAAAATCCATGGAAACAGCCCCAAGGGCAACTGTTCTTACCGCTGATGTCTCAGTAGCTATGAAGTAATTTGATGCTATTAAGAGTTACAAATGCAGAAGTCTGCTTTCTTTACATTGCAGCCAGTTAAAGGTTATCTCTATAATAACTGGCAGTCCATCGCTTCCTGAGTGGGAGTGGAAGGAGCGGCATCAGAAGGCTGGAGGGGAGGATGGAGTGCAAGTGCAGGCTGGGTGAGCCAGCAGGGCAGGTGCCCTCAGGCACTATGGTAACAGAGATCCCAGAGGAGCTTGAGAGTTGTGGTTTTCGAGTTACTTCCATTTGTTTCTTAAATTTTGCCTCCAGAGTCCTATAAAGCCCAGAGTGCATCACCATATGTTATGCCATGAACATTTCAGGAGTAATGACCAACAGTTACAACGACCCATCACAAGTGGGCAAAATGCTGACGTGATTGAAATGTACAATGTTATATATAAATAACTATTTAAAACAGGAAAGCCGGATTATTTTATTGCTAATGTAATAACACAGCTTCTGTTTTTCTTTTGCTTCTTAATAATAAAGGGAGAAAGAGTCCTGCTGTGTCAGAAGTGAAAAAAAGACTCCGTGCTTCATAGGCGCTACCAAAGCAACGTGGCTCGTTAAAAAGCCAATGTCATTTTCTGTAAGTTAAAAGCAATGTATCATTAAAATCACAGAAAGCAATCATACAACTAACTGCATTTGGTACTGGTAAGAGAGCATCTCGAATTGTACACTCAAATTTGGCGTATTAATTGTAACAGAAGAATTAAAACATTAGAATGTGCCCCAGAAGAGGAGCAGGATGGTGAGGGGTGTAGAAATCATGCCATATGGGAAAACAGTGGAAGGGAGATGGAAGAATGAACAGAGAGTACTCAGCATAGAAAGATAGGATGTGTCCTAACAAAAAGCCTTATTCTATGTACCTCAAAGGGCAAAGGTAAGATCAGCAAATAAAAATTATAAAGGTTTCTACAAACAGCTAACAGGCAAACAACCCCACATCAACAAGTAGTGAGCTCCACATCACAGGAGGCAATCAATCAGAGGATGTGCTCCCCTACAAAACAGAAGGGGGTGCCAAATGATCTTTAAGCTTCCTCCAACTCTAGACTTCTGATTTTCTTGAACCTCAAATACACTAGTTATTTTCAGAATTGAAACATCAATGCAGAGTCTAATTAACAAATTAAGGAAACCACAAGTGACCCACCACTGGATTTTTCAGATGGTAGGCATCTATCGCCCCATTCATGGAATGGAAAGAGAGCTACCTTCACTCTGTTACCATACCACACGCAGTGACCCAACTTCTGCTGGAATATATTTTAGAGGCACGGACTGCTTGCCGAGAACTGCATTCTCACGCTCATCCCTTGAACATGAACTGTACACACAATTTCCAAACCCATTCCCATCTCACGATGTGACACTTGGTTCCTGAACACAAGAACAAAGCCGCAGGCTTAACCCAAAGAATCCATCCTCGTGTTTTCTTTCATCTTAAGTCAATGAAACTGAATTTCACAATTTCATGCATTTTTCAAGAAACCTATTGCCCCATCCATCATCTATTACACTTAGAAAATATTGAACTGTGACAGAGACTGGCAGAGCAAACGGTAAAACTTACTCAGCCACATTCCACAGAACTGGAATTCAGAAGAACAACCGTGGGTACCAGCAGGATGGCTCTGTGCCGGCCGCAGGCCTCCTAAATGCCAGGTGGGAGTCATTTTGCATGGCTGGCGCCTTGGGTCTCAGACCTGAGTCGGGAACCCAGGTAGGCCAGGGCCTTCTCTAATATGACCAGCACTGCTACAATGTCCTGGGGGTGCCCAAGTGCAATGAATTCTCCCCCTGGGCAGGACATGTATTCGTCGCACCCCAAGCAAATCGGGGTCACTTGAAGCCATCTGAGCAAGGACGCTCAACAAGGAGCCGGGGCTGAAAGCACATCTCCTGACTCCAAAGCCTGCACTCTTTCCTCCCCAGGGTCCTGCTCAGCGGCTGCACTTCCACAGCGAAACAGCCCCGCCAGCCCTGGAGCAGAACCCCCGCTTCCCGGCCGCAGGGGGCAGCCCCAAACTGTTGCATCACTCGCAACCGTTCTGGAGCCAAGGGTGGTAGGAGAGGAAGCCAGCGATTATGACGACTGACTTTATCTGTAACAAATAAAAATACATTGAAGGAGAAAGGATCCCTGTCCAGGCAATGAAGCGTGACGGTGGGTCTGTTAAACTTTCACTCCAGAAGGCACTGCTGAAAGCAATGAATTCTGACCATCTCTGCCAGGAAAACTCCTCAGTGGGACCTACGGCTGTTTTGGACACAAACTGGCGTAAAAGAAATTCTCTTGCGAGCTTCTATAAAAGTGAAAAATAGCCAAAGGCCTTTGCGGAATCAGTAAATCCCAACTTGTAAAAGCAATGCACTAATTCAGAAGTAACTCTAATTTACTCCTTCTCTACACACTGCTTTAGATCACCAAAAATTCAAAATTCCAGAATTGCTTGAATTCACCCTCAAGCCACCACATCACAGTCACAAGCTCTCATGAGTTCAGAGCAATTTATGAGGAAAAGGGAAGAGATTCAAAGTGCCCTTCTCACCGTCAGGCAGCCGCTCCCCAGGCTGTCACAGGCTTTCAGGCTCGGCACAGGAGTGGAGGCGGTGTAGAGGGCAGGGGGCTGGGGGAGAAGTCCCTCCAGGGCAGACAAGGGTCTGAGACCTGGCTCACGGCACCCGCCCCCCTCCCGCCTCACTGTGCCCCTCCCCAGACGGAAGAGGGGAAGGGGGGGGCGGGCAGGGGCTGTGCAAGGTAGATTTCCTCCTCACTGCCTCAATGCCTCCACTCTACTCTTCTCTACGCCCTCACCCTGCAGCGCCGACACGTAACTGTGAGGGGAAGGCAGGGAGGAAGGAAGAGAGCATGATGTGAAGTCAGGATCTCACCAGCATACCAGAGAAATCAGTCCTAAGGAGAGAACAAACAAGGTCGGAAAGTGCAGTCAGCTGTCAGGGGCCTCTTGGCAGGAGCTAGAAAGGCAGGCCTTGTGCTCACCTGGCCGCCGAACGGCTCCTTCTTGGTCGAGCTCTGAGCCTGAGAGGGACCCTGGGCAGGCGACAACCTTGAGGGGCTCTTCTTACTCTGAGGCAGCAGAGAGGACAGGAAACCCACTCGAGGCGACTGGGACAGGGAAGTGTTCCTTTGGCTGCACACCATGGCTCTGGACAAGCAGACACATAAGGTCACAGGGCTGAAGGGGGACCCGAGGGAACCCAAAGCACAGGCCTCCTGGGCTCCGGATGGCACCAGCTTCGTGGCCCGGCGTTCAGGCAGCATTATCCTTGGGACGGTTTCCTGTACCCAAGGGAGCCGGCAACCTCTCTGGCACAACGGTGAGGCCCGCAGTGCTCTGAGGGCCCAGCAGGGCTCGGAGCTGTGCTGTCCACTAGCCCCCAGCTACACGGGCCACTGAGGCCCTGAAATGCGGTCAGTCCCAAGGGCGATGTGCTGGAGAGCAGAACACACACTGGAATTCAAGCCTTAGCATGAAAATGGTGCAGAATATCTCCCGAATTCTTTGTTTCTATTCATCCCACGCTGAAATGATATTGTGGACATATTGGGCTAAATAAAATGTCATAAAATTAACTGCACCTATTTGTTTTTACTTAGTTGAAGTACAAATTTTTTTTTTTTTAAAGATTTCATTTATTCATTTGAGACACAGAAATAGAGAGAGAGAGAGAGAGAGCATGAGCAGGGGGAGAGGCAGAGGGAGAAGCAGGCTCCCCACCGAGCCAGGAGCCCGATGTGGGGCTCGAACCCAGGACCCTGAGATCATGACCTGAGCTGAAGGCAGATGCTTAACCATCTGAGCCACCCAGGCACCCGAAGTACAAATTTTTAAGGGATGTTTCTGGCTTGCCCTTGATTTCTACCCTACCGGGCTAGATGAGATACTAGGGCAGTTTCACCTGGTACAGCACTTGGCCACGTGTAGGTTTGGAATCTGCCTGCCTGGCTTTGCACCCTGACTCACCAGCTGTGTGACCACTCTGTGCCTCGGGTTCTTCAACTGCTACATTATTCTCATCAGCTGGGGCCTCTACTTTAACTGGCTATATTTTAAGGTTGCCTCTCTCCCCCTCTGCCTACCTCTTCAAACCCTCAGACGGGAGCGAGCTTCTACCACAGATTGCATCCAACCTGTTGGGTGCCAACCTTTTCATCTTTGAGGCACTCCTTTCCACACACATACATATATACATACATATACACACACACACACACACACACACACACACACACACTTCCAGAGGCTTTACAACATCTGTGTTTATTTATCCAGATGTGCATCTGGATGTGCGGGCCCCCTCCCTCGGGGCAGGTTCAGAGGCTAGAAGGCCTTAAAAGCCAGGGGACTTGACCCAGAAAGCTCAGGTGGGAACAGTGAGAGCCAAGGAGGCACTCTGGCAATTCCGTGTCACCAGAAACAGGGGGTCAGGGTGAGGTGACAGGGGACAGATGAGAGGAGGGGACCCCCTGCCCCCAGGCAGGCACACACTCACAGTTCCGAGTCCCCCAGGCGGTCCATGTTGGAGACATAAGGAGGCAATCTGTGCTGGACCAAGGCCTCCCCCTCCTCAGGCTGCAGCTCCTCTTTCTTCAGGCGGTGGATTTCAGCTTGCAAGGCGAAAAGCTACGTAGCAACAGAGTGAGTTAGACGGTGCTCTCACCTCATCTTCCCTCCACTAAGGAGCAGGGGGCACATCACATCCAACACCCAACCTCACCGGCTCCAGAGGCCCCTGGGCCTCAGCCTCGGGGTGCCGGCCTCACCCTCTGCTCACTGCCGAGCGGGAAAACGGGCCACTGCTAGCTGTCCCTTCACTGCACTGAGGTGAGAAGCCAACAACTGTCAGACACACAAATCCTACTTTCTTTCTTTTCATCAACTGACTTGCTTCTCCCTGAATTCATAATATATACATTTTCTCCTGAATTATATATATACATATATATACAAGCACCCAAAATGCAAACAGCTTATAGTCTTCCTTTTTCTGGAAACATGGCCTACAGTTGCCTTAATTTCAACAAAAGAGAAGTGCTCCTCAGACAAAATGTAAAGGCAAATGTGGGTCCCCTGGCTCCATCATTTTACCCAACTAGAGGCTCACGGAGCTGAGCAGAACAATGAAATTATATGTGGGTTGTTTACAACACAGATGTGGATATACAGGACCGGGGGGTACGAAAGAGATATAGGAAAGCACATAGTCTTCCTCCTCTCAAAGCTCATTACCATTGCTATTGTTCTTGCTACACACGGGACTTAAAATATGAACCTGACTGGGGCGCCTGGGTGGCTCAGTCGTTAGGCGTCTGCCTTCGGCTGAGGTCACGATCCCAGGGCCCTGGAATCGAGCCCCACGTCAGGCTCCCTGCTCCGCGGGGAGCCTGCTTCTCCCTCTCCCACTCCCCCTGCTTGTGTTCCCTCTCTCACTGTGTCTCTCTCTGTCAAATAAATAAAATCTTAAAAAAAAAAAAAAAAAAATATGAACCGGACCTCTGGTTTCCAGAGACTATTACAGCCCCCAAATCTCCATACTGACTCTCTGGTGACTCACTTGCATCTGAGATTAGTGCTTTCCTATTTTTAATCAGCCCTCCACCACCACTACCTAATTTCACACACGAAAAGCAGAAGTTCTTCCCAAGAAGCATGTTCAGAACAAACCTTCTGGCGAAGAACTTCATTTTCTTCTTGAACCTGGTTGGTCCTCTGGCATTCCGCATCGAAGTTCAGGATCACGGGAACTGGTGCACAAAGTTAAAGAAAAAGCCTGCCTGCGCAATGCTTAAAAGCCCTTCCCAAACTCTTGACACAGCAGCAAAACCCTTAAACACGAGTCACAGGGAGCAGAGGACAGACTTGGTCCTGCAGCCTCTCCACAGCTGTATGGAGTCTCTCCCTCAAGCTGGGTCTGGCCTTCCTCCAGACACTCGCACCAATTTGGCTGGTCAGCGCACAGAGAGGACGTGAATCTAAACCTGAGCATTTTCTCCCAAACACCGGCAGTAAGGAGCTCACATTCACTGGGCTTTGCAGCCAGTGCAAGCCGGAGCAAGGTCAGTGCAGCCACTGAGAAGCAATCCCAGGGGCCGGCTGGTCTACCATCTGGGCAGAAGGCTCAGCCGCTTGGCTTGCCCCTCCCCAGACCAGACCTCTTCCTAGCAAAGGTGTAGACTGAGGAGAGAGCTTTCTGCAGACTGGACAGTCCCATGTCATGCTATGAATATCCACGTTCTAGGTCAGGGTGTCAGCCTTTCCCACCACCTTAAACGGCTTCAGTCAAGAGGAGTACAAAGGGCCTCAGTCCCGGGGAAGTGAACTGTGGCTCAAATGTGTGTGACCTAGTTTGCAGGGCACTGTCATGCAATGAAAAGACCTTCAGTGACATTTCCAATTTCCCTAGAGGGCCCATATGGTCATGTCATAACCAATGGGCTGAGCCCCCTGCTAGTTTAGCCTGAAAGCCCTCAGGATAAAAAGCAGTAGGGGATTTTATAGCTGGCAAGGGTGGAATTCACACTCAGACCCACAGCACAAAAGGGGCACCCTTCCTACCTCCACCAGCTGTCCCTCCCAGAGGCCAAAATGGCCACCTGTGGGTAGGCCTCTACAACACCCCATTTATCAGTGACTCACCAGGCAGCTCCCTTCAAACCAGGTTCTCTTCTCCTCCTCTAGAATTCCAGCCTAAAGAGCACGAGCATTAGGGGATGTCCTGCGCCTCAAGAAGGCAGGCTTTCTAAGACAAAATGGTAAACATGGTGGACTACAAATTATTTACATTCTCCCTCTCTTAAATATCCATACGCTTTTTCTTAAAGGTGCTCTGTTTTCTAGCAAGTTGAGGAACGCTGAGGTCACTGTCAGGGAGTGACCCAAACGGGAACACAGGAAGCAAATTCTAGCCCAAGAAGTATTCTGACCTGCTACCTGATCTCAACAAAGGCAAGTAATACCCTCAGGGGCACAGGGCTTGCACAGACAGGGTATTCTCAAGGCTGGTCAGTGGTACTGAGCAGCAGCTGCCTACCAACCCCTGCACCTACTCAGCCGTATCTGGGGGCTCCTGGCAGAGCCAGGCATCGTACCCCCCCCACTACGACTGTCCCCGCTCATGCATGTCAGCTGTTACTTTAGCAGTGGCACAACAAAGACTTATGATTTCCTGGCCTGCTGACAAAAATAACCACAATCTGTCCAGCCCCCTCACGTAACACATGACAACGATGCTTGGGCATTTTGTAGAACAAACAACTGCATCAAGAGCAGCGGCCACTGATCATGTTGTCTGGAAGCCCCAGACCAGGCCCACAGCCCTAGGCGGCTGAGAGGATATGCATGCACTGAAACAGGACGCTCAGGAAGTTGTGCAGGGACACAATGAAGGTATCGGCCCACTGTCGAGAGAAGTAGGTAGCAAAGGTGGGGTTGGTGTCTGGGGATGGCAGGAAGGGCAGGACAAACCAATCCTTCCACTCGGCCTGGTTCTGGAGCTCTGTGGCCTGCTTTGCAAAGAACTCTTGAGCTTTGTCATTTCTGTTTGTCTGCCAAGACAAAGAGGACATAGCAAGAAGGGGTAAGAGACTGAAGTCCAGAATTAAGATTTGTCATTACTGCACAAAAGAGAGCCTCTGGATATCAGCCTGCCAGGTAAGTAGCCAAATACAATCTACAAATGCCATAAAGGACATCACTTTTCTCAAGTTCCTTGTAATTTCCAAGAAGTTGGTTTAAACTGAAGCCCTGAAGATAAATGCCATCCTAAAAATTAATTCCTAGTTGATTTTCAAATAATCTAAGTGACTTATTCCCCCAGGTGAGCTATAATCTATTACTCAAACTTTCACCCAGCTACTTATATCCTTTGAAACACCACCCAGGCTTATGTGCTTAAAACAAGAGAGGAAACAGGAATGAGGAAGACAAGTCAGCTGATCTACAGATGAGAAGGGGGAAAAAAAAGTAGGAAAACAGTCAAAAATAATTTGCACTGTGACTGTCCACCCTTTCCCAGAGGAACACAGAGAGTTCTCCTTAGAAATTAAAAGAAAATCTATTTCGGGGTCAAAGAACTCTCTCCAAGGAATCCCTGAAGGAACAAGCACCTGGATGGTGTAGACGAGATAAAAGCGGAACAGGCTGGTTTTCAGCTTGTTGATGGTGGGTCTATATATATCTTCCAAGCGGCTGAAGAGCCGCCGTTCCAGGTAGCTCCAATAATCCCGAAGGGCAGCCAAGTCATACACCTGCATTAACTGCTGCAGCTGGTCCACAATCTTGTCCACCTGGTGGAGAATGATGGGATGGAGAAGGTGAAGGACAAGAGGGAATTTTCCCATCACTTCACAGAGCTAATACAGTTTTTTCCTCTTGCCGTGGCTTCTGAATGTTAGAGGTGGGTTTTTTTTTTTTTAAATTAGCAATCTATAAAACATTCAAAACATAGTAATGTAATAGCTTTTGAGTTATTATCTGATGTTAGATATGTGGTTTGACCCCCTAGCAAGCATGGAAATTTCAAGCGTAAAAGCACAGAGCAGGAGACCTGAGTCTAGGTCTTGAATCAGTGTCTGGCTTACTCAAGCAACTTGACAATGTTACTTTGACTCTTTGGTCTCTGATGCCTAAGATTTCAGAAAACAAAACAGAGAGACAACCTCCATCCTCCTCCTCCCAGCTCCACCATTCCAGGAGTTCTAGACTCACGGAGATACACGGACTGACTCCTTCAAGTCAGGGAAGCTCCACCAAAGCCCTGGCAGCTGCTCAGACTGTCAGCCAAAGAAGTCACCTCTGTGTGAGAAATCACACCGGAGGACACAGTCTGGAAAAGGTTTTAGATGCCAACCCAACACCCCCATCTTACAGAGCAGGACACTGCGGCTTGGACAGCTGGAATCATTTGCTTTTGCCACTGAGTACCGCTAACTTTGGCAAGACAAGAACCCAGGTCTCCTAACTTCCCCAGGGTTCTTGCTAGCTCACTGCCTCTCTCTCTCAGTTCACCTGTCAACACCGATTAAGACTCAGCAAACAAACAAATCACACACATATACATTCCAAGAACTTTTCAACAGAAAGTCATGTCTGAGCAGGGGAAATATAATGTTTTAAAATGTACAAGGTCTTCCTCAACTGCGGAGACAAAACTGCCAGTAAGTCACCCACAATGCCATTTTAAACAAACACCAGAAGATACCTGAACCCAGCTAACATTTTGGGCTGCAGATCCCTTTGCTCTCAATGCTAACTTTTGAATATTTCTGTTGCCCAAACTTAACTATCTACCCAACCTTAGCTCCTGAAACCCTTATCTCCATCCTGGCCAGATGACCAGCATCTGCTTGGAGGCTGGAGTGGAGGACAGACACCTGGACCAGGACTCAGGGCACCTGGGCTCCAGCCTCAGCGATGCTCCTGACTCGCTGGGAAACTTCAGGCAAGTCACGTCCCCTCCTTAGGACCTCAGTTCCTCATGTGTCAAGCGAGGGCCAGACGCGCTGATGTCAACAGTCGCCCCCGGCGCGGTGACAGCGCCGCTCCCGCCCCGGAGGGCATGGCGGGGGGGGAGCCCGCTCCGGTCTCCCTCGGGGCCGCCTCTGCCCGCACCGCGCCCGCCGGCCCCTCACCCGGAACCCTTTCTCCTTGTCCGCCTTGATCTCGGCGTCCAGCTGCCGCAGCGTGTGTGTGAAGCCGCGGAAGAGCAGGTACTCCCGGACCAGCTCGTCAGTGCGCTCCACGGCCTCCGCCATCGCTGCGCCAGCGCCGTGAGCGGTCGCGGCACGCGACGAACGGAGGGGCGGCGCCTGGGCCGCGCAGGGCGGGGCGGGGCCGGGAGCCGGCGCCAATCACGTCACGCCGCGGCCCGCCTACCAGCCCGCACGCATCGCGCGCGGCGCGCCTGCGGCCCCGCCTCAGCCCCGCCCCCAGCCCTGCCTAGCCGCTTCCGTCAGCAGCCTCCGGGAAGAGCGACTGGACCACCCGTTGCTCGCCTGGGTTTCCAGGCGTCCCTGGCGCCGGCTTTGTGATCTGAGTTATTGAAAAGTGGCGGCTGCCGTCCAAGTCAAGTAGGGTTGGACCTTGGAGAACATCCCAGATAGTCACGAGGCGGGCAGGGGTGAGGTGCCCTGCTCATTGGCATTCCATAGCGGATTCCTCTGTGCCGTGTCCTCGTTTTACAAATAAGGGAACCTGGAGTCCGAAGGTAAAGTGACTTAAGTGCAGTCACACAACCAGGTGTGTCAATCAGGGAGTTCTAGAGAAAAGCCTTGCTTTCATTAGTAAGACTAATCAACTACATGGCAAGATAACCAGGATAAAAGGAAAAAGCAAATTTCAGAACAGTCTGTATTCTACGGTCCAAGTTTCTTGTTTAAAAAAAAAAAGGTATACGTGTATATGTTTGTGTGTACATTTTAAAACTTAAGGAAGATTATACTCTCACCGCTTGTTTTAAGAGGTGAAACTGTGAGGTACTTTCACTTCCTATATTTTACTTTTGTTTGAAATATTTATAAACTAGTTTTATGTATGTTTTAAGCAGGGAAAGAGCCAGTATCTTTGAGCCTTCCATTTCTCCTCTGTAAAACAGTGACAATGATACCTACCTTGCAGAGTAATGAAAATTGAATAAGATAATGTATGCAAAACACTTAGCATAATGAATAGCCCATCATTAAAATGCAGTAGTCATTCCCTTCTTCTAATGGTATGGCTTTCTGTGTTTATCAAAGTACAACTCAGAATCATTACTGCCACTTTGTCCAGACCCTCCCACCCAAGTATATGGAAATTTAACTCCAAAGGGGCTCTGATCTGCACCAGAGAGCCCCTCTGCCTGCTTTAGCTGTCTTCACAGGTGTCAGCATCCCCCAGGCAACCAGCCTTGACCCCACAGAGCACGGAAGGAAAGTCACCTCTGTGACTGCTGGGAGGACCAGACCAAAGTCCTACTTTGGTATCTCAGATGATCAAAGGAGAGCTTGGGAAATCCCAAAAAGGAGCAACCGCTAAGACCTTTGCCAACAGGAATGTTGCTAATTAGATTCTCCTAAGGTACCTGCAGTGCTCAGCCACTGGAGCAACACATGAAGGAGGCTCCACACGTTCGTGCTAATGTCGCCTCAGAAAGGCCCTCTCCCGCCGTCGTGTACAAAAGAGCAGTACTCTCATCTCCAGAATTCTTATCCCCCTTGCCCTGCTGTATCTTTCTCCACAGCACTTCTCACGGTCTGACAAACTAGATATCTTCTCTATCCTCCGTCTCCCCTCTACACTAAAATATAAGCTGCATGAAAGCAGAGATTTTTGTCTCGATTGTTTGCTGCTATATCCTCAGAACCTAGAACAGTGTCTGCCTTATAGGAGATGCCCAATAAGTATTTGTTGAATGTATGAATGAGGGCAATTTCAGTGAGGGCCCAGGCACCTTCAAGCAGGATCGCCCTGCTAGAGGGAATATAAACTCTTGGATCACTCCCGTGTATAGGCTCCATGGGCTTCTGACCAACCGGTTCCCTGTCCAGAGCATTCCTTCTTCCCATCTTCTCTCCATACCATTTTGCTCACTCTTTAAAGATCTTTGGAGACATTCAGCTGAGTTGTCTTTATGTAACTGGAGAAGGCACTAGATTCTCCAGCTCATTAATTAGCTCCAGTTAGTTGATCTGGTTACTCTTTTACTGCTTATGGCTGCTATGAAAGTAGCCTGGGGTTCCTTTGAGAAGGTGCTGTCAGGGGCCTGCAGCAGTCCCTTTATACAAAGAAAATTATGTGGGCACCCACAAGGTGAACCACAAATTATCTTTCCTTCCAATCCAATCATCTCTCTTTGCCTTTGAGTTGGGAGAGAAGGGAGAACAACAAACATGGTGATGGGGGGGAGGAACAGTAAACATTTAATGAGCACCTACTTGATGCCAGGCAGTGTGCTAGGTGTCAGGGACACGATAATAAGCGAGACCAGGGTCTCTGCCCTCAGAACTAGCTCCTGGGGGGTTGGAGAAGCCACACAACTGAAGCGCACACACACACACACTGGCTGCAGAATGGAGGCTGGATGGGATGGGACAGGGCTGGAAGGAGGATGGAGGCCAGACAGGAGACCATAGCATTCCCGGCAAGGGATGAGACTAGACCAGTAGCAGTGGGGATCAAGAGCTGGGGGAGGAGTTGAGAATTCCCGAAAAGTGCAATCAGCTGGGTTTGGTGACTGACTGGCGAAGGTGAGTAAGGAGCAGGGGTCATCAGTGACTGGCAGGTTCTGGCTTGGGAATCTGGGTGGATGATAGTGCCATTCGTGGGCAGAGAGAACTCAGGAAGAGGAGACTGTGGGACTTCCTGACACACTGGTTTTGGTGGCAGCTAAGAGACCCAGAAACGGGAAATAATACGAGATCCCAGAGCGTGGCTGTCCCGCCTCCCTCCCCTGGAGGCTTCAGCTATTACGCTCCGCTCCTAGCTCCTCCAGCTCCTCCGGGAGTCAGCCTGAGGGTTCTCTCTCGCCCTCTCCCTCTGCCCCGCCCCCATCTCGCTTGTGCATGCGCTCATGCTCTCTCTGGCTCTCTCAAAATAAATAAATATTTTTTTAAAAAAAGATTTCTTTTCCTTATTTTAGAAAGAGAAAACTGAAGTTCAGGAAGACCAAAGAATTTATTCAGTGTCTCAAATTTACGTTTCTGATTCCAAGTCTGCCAGCACTCTGCCAAGAGCTTCACAGCAGCATCATTGAATCAGTCAACTTGTGAGACAGGTCGCTTGGGTGAATGACGATGAATTATCCCTTGTCCCTCCTCCTGAAGAGTTTTAGAACTCAGACTAACCACACAGGCTCTCTTTGGTAGCTGGAGCATTCTTCCTGGGGCATGGATCAATCCATTTAATCCATTCAACCCTGGGTAGTCAAAGATAGCAGGTCAGAGATGCGAGAGGACCTGGAGCTATCCCAAGTTCTGGGGGTACCCTAGGATGTTGCCTTCTGCCCTTCTAATCCTGATGCTCTGGGATGCCCTTTGTGTACCCCACAATTTCTGAGATTCCTTTTCACCCAACCCTTTGCCTGACTCTGCTCATGGTTGTTCACTTGAACTCCTATTGTCCTTTTAGACTCGGTCTACTTATCCCTGGCCCTTACCCAACCGGTAGCACTGGGTGTTCTCTCTGTTCCCATGGCGTAGCACCCTGTATGTGCTTATTGCCTTGCTTTGTAACCATCTGTCTGTCTTCTGTCCTTGGTTGTAAACTCCTGAGAACAGAGAGTGTGTCTTGCTGAACCTAGTGTCTCCAGTGATGAGCATGGTCCTTTGAAAGTAGGTGCTCAATAGCTGTTTGTTGAATTAATGAGGAAATAAAGTCCATGTGACTATACCACTTGGAACTTCAGGTTATATGTGCAATACGGAGCATCCGTTGCCAAGGTCAAGGGCAAAGGAATCTTTTCTACCTGTGGTCAGTGCCATAAAAACTATGAGGGCTTCTGAAAAGTGACCCATGTAGCAATTCACAGGTTCCTTACTGATGCCCCTCAACCTTGCCTTAGAAGGCAGCCTGTTTGCACGTTAGTGTTTAACTCACTGAAAATTAATAACATACATATTAAAATAAATGCCCTCTCCACCTATCAAAATTCCATTTTTAAAAAATACATTGTCCACTATTGATAAAAATAAAATGAAAGAGGTATTCTCATGAGCTACTTTTCCAGGAATTAATTTATAAATGACCAAGCCCCCCAGAATGTTCTTACTCTTGAACCCAATGATTCTACTTCTAAAATTCCCCTTAAATAATAAAAAATGACAAGATTCGTGTCCAATAGGGTTGTTTGTAAGAGTAGGAGTTATTTGTAACAACGAACGTTATTTACAGTAATGGAAGTTGTAAGTACTTGGAGCTACAGTGACATAACCCCCAACAACTGAATGAGGAAATTGCATTTCCCACTGAGTGTCAAATAGCAAGACCCACTCAAATGATCGGATGCCAAAGATGCAAAGTCCAAAGAGAGAAAAGCTACTAGGCTCACAGGACTTGACTGAAGGGCATCAACTCACAAAATAAATATGCTGTCAGTCAGAAGAGGTTTTAAACACAGAAATCCAGAGAGGGACCGTGGGCAGAACCCATTGAAGCCCTCATGCCCAGCTCGGCCAGCAGATGATGTCCTGTGGTCTGTCCTCTGTCCTTCTTAAGACAAGAAGGAGGCTGTAGACCACCCCCAACTGGGTCATTAAGGCACCCCACACCCCTTTTCCTGGTTCTAAGTTCGCCAAGGGACCATCTGATGCTCCTGGCACTTGACTACATGAAGATATGTGGCACTGTGCTGTCTTTCTCCTGGCAAACTAAAAGGGAATTTCTGATTCCAATAACCTTCCAACGGAGATGGAAGGGGATGTCATTTATGTCAGTGCTCCCATGAACCCTCCCTGTCCATGTGACCGTTGTATTTCTCATTAAACAATGAAACACGTGACACCATGATGTCTCCCTCGGGGCCCCTATACAGCCAAGTTACCACGAATCCATCCTTCAGAGCCTGCTCACCCCCGGCCACCGCGAGAAGCAGCTCCAGCTGGCCTGTTTTCCACACCAACTCCACGTGCAGGAGTCTATTCATGATTTCCACAGGGAAAAAGAAGTGTGAAACAATCAACATGTTCCACATTTGGGGAAAGCTGAAGTAAGTTATGCTACATCTATCCCATGTGATATTGTATCATTGTTAAAAGTCACCTTTCTTCAAAGACTAATT